CTTTTCCCAAAGCCTCCTTGTTCATCTGCTATCCTATTCTCCGTCTTACTCTTAATTCTTTCAATAATAACTCAAACCATACACTTACCAGGTTTTACTCAACAGACTTATCCCCCTATAATTTTTTGCACTCTCTTTTATCCCCCTTTGCCTTTATACAAAGGAACTATGCATGCTCTCTGCCAATCGCTAGGTACCTTACCCTCTTCCATACATTTATTAAATAATTGCACCAACCACTCCAAAACTAATTCCCACCTGCTTTTAACATTTCTATCTTTATCCCATCAATCCCAGCTGCCTTACCCCCTTTCATTTTACCTACTGCCTCACGAACTTCCCCCACACTCACAACTGGCTCTTCCTCACTCCTACAAGATGTTATTCCTCCTTGTCCTATACACAAAAATCACAGTTTCCCCTATCTTCATCAACATTTAACAATTCCTCAAAATATTCCCTCCATCTTCCCAATACCTCTAACTCTCCATTTAATAACTCTCCTCCCCCCTATTTTTAACTGACAAATCCATTTGTTCTCTAGGCTTTCTTAACTTGTTAATCTCACTCCAAAACTTTTTCTTATTTTCAACAAAATTTGTTGATGCAGTAATAACTCCAGGAGGCAGCTCTGATGAAAACTCACACTCACGCGAGCTTTTAAATCTCTGCACAAATTCATTTAAACCAGCAAATAATAGAGCCTACTAGACTGGAGAAACACTAGACTCATCTTCACTAACAATGATGATCTGATAAGAAATGTCACCATATCAAAAACAATATACTCAGATCACAACATAATTGAGGTTCAGTCATGTATGCGCGGAGCCCCCGACCGACATAATGAGAAAGTCCCTGAGGGAGCATTCACCAAATTCAACTTCAATAACAAAAACATAAAGTGGGACAAGTAAAACCAAGTCCTAACCGATATAAGCTGGGAAGATATACTAAGCAACAACAGACCCCAACTTATGCCTAAACAGATTAACTCGGTGGCACTCGATGTATGCACAAGGCTTATTCCTCTAAGAAAAAGGGGGAGTAGATGTAAAATAGAAAGAGACAGGCGCTCCCTTTACAGGCGACGGAAAAGAATAACAGAGCGGCTAAAAGAGGTCAATATAAACTGAAATGCGTAGGGAGACACTGGTCAGAGAAATAGCAAGCATCGAATTAAGCTAAAAGAATCCTTTAGGAGTCAGGAAATCGCGGGAAGAACTAAACCAAATAAATGAAATCGAAAGAAACCCAAAGTTTTTCTTCTACTATGCCAAATCAAAATCGAGAACAACGTCCAGTATTGGGCCCCTACTTAAAAAAGATGGGTCCTACACAGATGACAGAAAGGAAATGAGTGAGCAAATCAAGCCCCAAATATGACTCAGTTTTTGGGAAAAGCTGCTAACCAACTGAGAGTCGAAGATCAAAATGAATTTTTTATGAGAGCCACAAAATTTGATTAACACAAGCCTAACCGATGTAATCCTGATGCCAAGTGACTTCGAACAGGCGATAAATGACATGCCCATGCACTCTGCCCCAGGGCCAGACTCATGGAACTGTTGTTCATCAAGAACTGCAAGAAGCCCCTATCACGAGCCTTTTCCATCCCAGGAGAGGAGCATGGACACGGGGGTCGTCCCACAGTTACAAAAACAACAGACATAGCCCCACCTCCACAAAGGGGGGAGAAAGCAACAGCAAAGAACTACAGACCAATAGCACTAACATCCCATATCATGAAAATCTTTGAAAGGGTCCTAAGAAGCAAGATCACCCACCCATCTAGAAACCCAACAGTTACACAAAACCCAGGGGGAAAATGGTTTAGAAAAAGGTCGCTCCTGTCTGTTCTCAACTATTGGATCACTACGACAAGGTCCTAAATGCACTAGAAGACAAAAAGATGCAGATGTAATATATACAGACTTTTTCAAAAGCCTTCGACAAGTGTGACCATGGCGTAATAGTGCACAAAATGCGTGCTAAAGGAATAACAGGAAAAGTCGGTCGATGGATCTATAATTTCCTCACTAACAGAACACAGAGAGTAGTCATCAACAGAAGTAAAGTTCCGAGGCAGCTACGGTGAAAAGCTCTGTTTTCCCCAAGGCACAGTACTCGCTCCCATCTTTTTCCTCATCCTCATATCCGACATAGACAAGGATTTTCAGCCACAGCACCGTTTCTTCCTTTGCAGATGACACCCGAATCTGCATGACAGTGTCTTCCATTGCAGACACTGCAAGGCTCCAGGCGGACATCAACCAAATCTTTCAGTGGGCTGCAGAAAACAATAAAAGTTAAACGTGAAAATTTAATTACTCAGATTGGTAAACAGGGAAATTAAAGCTTCATCAGAGTAAAAAAACAAATTCTGGCCCAAAATAGAGGAAAAAACCAAACGTCAAAGACCGGGGAGTGATCAGTCGGGGGTCTCCCTTTCAAGGACCATAACATTGTTCACGCATCTGCTAGAAAAATGACGGATGGATAATGAACCCTTCAAAACTAGGGGGCCAACCCCATGATACACTCTTCAGGACTTGTTCATCTGGGGCGGAATTTGTGCACACTAACAGCCCCTTTAAAGGGCGGGTGAAATTCCCGCCCTGAAAAATGTACGGGAAAACTTCACGGCACGCATAACGAGACAAGCACCTAAATTATTGGGAGCGCTTGGGTTCCTAAACCTTATTCCTGGAACCGGGAGGAGAGATACTGTTATATACACCTGGAAAATCCTAGAGGGACTGTCCCAAACTTGCACACGAAAATCACTCACAACGAAAGCAAAGATTTGCAGACGATGCCCCCACCCCCCCCAATAAAAACAGGGGTGCATGGGGGGGTTTAAAAACCCATAAAATAAGTTCAGGGGCCCGAATGTTCAACGCCTCCCGCACACAAAAGGGGGGATTCCCAAACAACCCCAGCATCTTAAAAGCTGGCACTGGACAAGCACCAAAAGTCGTTCCGATCAGCGGGTGTGCCTCGTCTTGGGTTTGCGTGCACCCGCAGAAACGCCTGGTTGTCAGGCCGCCCCCAGGAGGCCTGGTCACAGACAGGGCCCGCGGGGGCGTTGCCCCCCCGGAACTCTCTCCAGGTAAACCCCAAGGGTAAACTCACCCCTCTCTTTTGCTCTCTTTTTTTCATTGCTTTTACCCCTCTCTTTATTAAAATGTTTTTTTCGTAGGGTCGAGTCGTGAAAACGAAAAAAATTTTATAGGGATCGAGTATCCTGTGGTCTTTTAATAAAAAGGGGTTTAAATTTTACATTTAAAAAGTTTTTGACTGAAGTAAACGAAAGGTACAAGACAAGTCCAGTCCTCGATGCACCTTTAATCAACTGATAGTCCCTTTAAAGCATCTGATGCGTCCTTCAAAAATCTATGCATCCTTCAATAGCACTGAAGCAAGGAAAATACCTACCCCATAATTAAGATTAGATAGACCAAGATTGTTTTGATAAAAAATCGCCTATCATGAATCGGCCCGTAACGGTCAAAAAATTTTCCTACGCCCGACGGCCTGGGGTTCCCGTTTCAGTGATATTAAGCAGAGAAAAAACCTATAGTACAATATAGAGTTAAAATTGGACTAATATTAATCATGCATACACATTTTTAACTTTAATCAATGCATGGTAGATAATTTTTTTTTAGTTAATGCAGGTATCACCAGGATGGGAAAAATATATGAAGGGAAAATGAGCAGACGAAAAAGTGGTGGAGCAGCCACTGCGGGAAGGACTTTCCCAAGGGCTTGTGGGCCCCTCTCAAGTTTTATTTGACCCTTCCAAACGAACAACCATTTTTTTTTTTACCATTCTTTCTCTGTTTACACGCAATGTTCAAGATACACATGGTGGACGCAGCAAGCAAGGAAAGGTTTTAAAAATATGGTGACTTGTTCTTATTGGTTTGTGTCAGAAAACTTCCCAATCTAATCTTTCAATTCTTATTAATCTTTATAATTCTTAATTTTTTTTAAACTACAGGCACTTTGCACCTCATCTTTTTTGCTTTAATTTGCCACTTTTTCTAGGGGGGAAAAACCCCAAATACCACACTTACCTATAAACATTTTTGGGCATGTTTTTAAAAAGCTTTTTTTAAACACCCCAATGAAAAATTTAGATAAATTTAAAAAAATATAACAGTAAGGTATTGTGAATAATATACAAGGAATATTTTTCAGTCCTTATTATTTACAAACATTTTAAGTAAGTCTTTAATCTAACATCTTAATTATACAAGCAGTTGGAATAATGAGCTGAAATCACCATAATAACCTACACAATATATTATGAGTGTCTTGCAGTTTCATTTATATGATCTATTGGCAATATTTAATTAATGACTAATAGATTCCTTTCTTGATGTGTAAAATATTTAGGCTGGAATACACTGTACACCTAAATTACGGTTGAAGTCCCTTGATTTGTATTCTCTGGAATGCAGGCGAGAGAGATACATGATAATATACACTTGGAAAATCCTAGAGGGATTAGTACCAAACTTGCACACAAAAATTACTCCCTATGAAAGCAAAAGACTCAGCAGGAGATGCAACATTCCCCCAATGAAAAGCAGGGGTGCCACGAGTACACTGAAGACAACACAATAAGTCAGGGCCCCAAGACTGTTCAACTGCCTCCCAGCATACATAAGAGGGGTTACCAATAGACCCCTGACTGTCTTCAAGAAGGGACTGGACAGGCACCTAAAGTCAGTACCTGACCAGCCGGGCTGTCGTTCATAACGTCAGTTTGCGTGAGGCCAGCAATAACAGCCTGGTTGATCAGACCTTGATCCACCACGAGGCCTGGCCTCAGACCGTGGGGGCGCTGACCCCTGAAACCCTCTCCAGGTATCTGTATTCTGCACATGGCCTGCTTTTTGGTTTCTCTCATTTCTAGCACGGTATATGTCACTTATCTTCATAAAATTTCTTGATTGCAGATATGGTGATAAATGTTGAAGAAATGGACCAAGGCGTGGGAGACATTTGGCTGCCCTTGAAGAACATGGCTTAAATGAAATACTATTGTTTACTTCCTTTCCGACCATGGTGGTCACCTCGAAGCTGTAGACGAGAATGACCAACGTGTTGGAGGGTAACAATGGCCACTTCAAGGGTCAGTTTAGTACTTATCTATTATAGGATAGGAAAATGAATTATACAGAGTAACCATTAAAGAGTAACTCTTAGGTGATTTGTGGAAGTTCTCCTTAGAAACATCAGTAAGACTGATATTCATGAATTTACAAGAAATATTGCTGCACATACTAAAATGGCAAGTGCAGCACAAGCAATATCAGGGCCTACATCTAAATTTACGAAATTTGGTGAAATACAAAAAGGGGTGGACATCTTGTAACTTGTAACTTGATTAACAGTACATGTTTATCAGTGTATTAGACCAAGTGACTGTAACACTGAATTTACTTCACTGCAAATAGTTTGGACTGAATTCATTGTGTGACTAATAGTACTGTAATTGAAATGTGTTTTTTTTTAAATTATTTATTATTACTAAACTGCTTAGCTAACAGAGTGCTGGGACCTAGTCCCTGGACCCATTATATGCACTCCGGGCCTAGGCTATTCAGATTGGCGGGGCCCCTTTGAGTTACGGGTAAGCGAAGCGCCCCCTTCCACTTGGGGGTGGGGGGGTCGGTGTGGACCTGTTTAAGGTCTAATTTAAATACATTCTGGCTATTTAGATTAAATTTAATAGGGAAAGTACATCAAGGGCAACGAAAACCATTTCCCAAACAGCCATTATAACTATCTTGTTAAATCATGCTTTTTAAAAAGAGAATAAACTCAAGACAGCATAGTATTACTTTTTTTTTAATTTTTTTTATTAAAACAACACAATACATTAAATAAATAAAAGAACACAGTATCAGTTCTTACTCAAAATTATAAAAATCTCATTGTCTAAATGAACACAGACGATTAAACGTTGTGTTGTCACACCTGTCCCTCACCCCATATACATTACATCCAATGTAACTATGTTAAGTAAGATTACATCATTTTTAAATATAACCAAGAAAACCCCAAACCTACAATCTGCATTATTTTTTCCACTTTGTTTATTTATATATTATAATCCAAATCCTTCAAACCTCCTTTACAATACTCATTATTGCCAGTGCCGACACAGCTGACACTTCTACCCCCCCCCCCTCATTATTGTCATGCCGACACAGCGGACACTTCTACCCCCCCCCCCGTATGTACATCCCCATTCTAAATAACATACATTAATTTCCTAATGAATGGTCATTGAAAACAATTTCTACTAAAATAACAGGGTCATTATAAGAAAAGTAGGAAGGGAGTCCTGCAATCATATATGTATACATATACGCATGCATAAAACACATACGTGTATGTGCACTTATTCATAAGAACAAACTAAATCATCCCATAGAAATAAATCGCTAAATGACTTGTCTGCAAATAAACTAAATATTACAATCTATGATAAAAACTATACAAAGCCCATTGGTTCCCCAAAAAACACCTACATACACAAAGTTAATGTTACTGATTAACACTCAATATATAATAGGACCTTCCATACAAAATAAGGGGATATAAAAACCCCCATCAAATACTTATATATTTTCGTACATAGTGCATAATGTACATATTCAATACCAATAATAAAAAAAAGAGATGTATGACAAGGCTAAATCTATCTTCAGATTAAAAATATATAAGACATAACCTCACATTATACATATAAATATAAACCTTCCTATATAAAATGATTCTTATAACAAAAAGGGAAAACCGAAAATCACAACAACTTTTTGACTGTGATTTTACAAAAATTCATAAGGTCTACATACCCTACAATAAACTTTACCCACATCAACCACCGTGCAAACTAATCAACCATACCTCACCAGGCTTCCAATCACCCCAAAGGGAGGGCGCACCACTAAAGAGACCAACCCCTTGCCTCTCACCCCATACTCAAAACGGAGTAAACGTTCAACAGAAAGGGTCCACGATATCCCTCCGGAAAACTAATTACCCACCTTCCCCCATATAATTGTTTGTTCCTACATGCTGTCCCTATAAAAACCGCCCGCCAACGCTTTTTTTTCCTAATTTTTCCCCTCCACCTCCCTCATCCCCCAAGAAACATACAAGTAATCAACTATTACATATCGATAGCCCTTCCCCCACCTCCTTGGTACCCCTTCCATATCTAACTTTAAAGCCCTAAGGGGGGATATCTTTCCCCCCCCCAATAAAAAAAAAACCCTCTTCAACCACAACTTACCACCTCCAATGCAGAACAAAAATATACTACATGAAAAGCCGTTTCAACTTCCCCACAAAAAGCGCATGACGCCTCTTTCACAAAACCCATTCGTCTTAGCACCTCTTTCGATGCTAACGTCCCATAAGAAATCTATATACTAATTTCCCTCGCTCTTGCCGGTATTTTTAATTTACTAAATTCCACCCATATTCCCTCTCCAATCATATGGGGGATACACTGCCACCCCTTGCATTAATTCCTGACGACGACCCACACCCACTAACCGTTTTTACCTTGAGTTTTTTAACATTGCATACCTTTAACATAAACCGCAACATGTCTTCACACTCCACTAAGTCCCTGCCACCCCACCATTTACGGATACCCCCCATCACCTCCCCCACCCGAAGACCCCTTTCCCCCGCTGCCCGAATATACCTCTGCTTCACATATAGCGCCTTCACCCTAGACCCTAAATGCAATCAATCCCAGTCCTCCCTGCCTTACCGCAGTCATTACTACATCTTTGCCCAACCACGCCCTCCCATAGCCCCACACATACCCTTAAGACTCTTCTTTGCATTTCCATAATATCCTGACTTCTTAATGGGTAAATTTCCGCCACTCCCCACACCTTTACTAAAAATTTCAGCGTATTTACCACCACAACCCTTTGATGCAAGGTTACATCCCCGGCCCTTAGGACCCCTCAGCCTACTCAAAGCTCTGTCCATTACCTTTTTCCTGAATTAACCCCCTGCTCTCCTGTGCATCTGCCAAAAACAAAATCCACAAATCTTTAGCCTATCTACAGTTATCCAACCAAACTCCTCCCCCAAGGCCCCTCCTCCCCAAGCGCCTACCTCCAACAACCGTGATTTCTGCTTATTAACCCCATCCCAGAAAGCATTCCCAAAAATCTAAATTACCCTTCCCCCCTTTTCTTAAATTTTCAATCCCATTAAGTAAAAAAAGTTGTATCATCACATAACCAACAATATTCCCACAATATCCTCCACTCTTCCCCCAACTTCCCATCCCACCATCAACCAGAACAAGAAAGGATTCTGCATACATGCAAAGAGTATTTGGAGAGTGGACACCCCTGCCTTAAACCCCTTTCCCCATGCTTACTGAACTACCCAACCCCCCATTTACCTGTACTCTCATTGATGCATTCTCATACAAAGTCCTCACCCATCCAACCACCCTCCTCCAAAACCCATTCTCACCATGCTCTCAATCAAAAATTCCCTATCCAAAATAATCATAAGCTTTCTTTCCCCCAATCCAGACCTAGAATACCTCCCTTATTACTACCCTCAAGGAAATCCCGAATACGACCATGACCTACCCGCATACTCCTCCCCGGGATACCAAAATTCCCCCATGTATCACCGACCCCATGACCTTCTTCAGTCTATTACCCAAAATTTTCGCAAAAAACCTTGTAATCAGCGCACATCAAAGATATTGCACGGTAAGCACTCAACCCCCTACCCCCCCCCTTCTTTGGCACCAAAAATATGACACCCGTACTTTGCATAATGCCCAACTTCCCATTGTTAACAATTTGGGCCAATAGCCTAACAAAACACTGCCTAATACACCCCCAATGGTGCTCTAAAAAATCATTTGGTTTTACCGCTATCCCTGGTGTTTTCCCGGTACTCATCCCGAAAACTGCCTCTTCCACCTCAACCTCACTTATACCAACCTCCAACCCCACTCTATCCTGCTCACTTAAAACGCTATGGAACCCCCCTTCAAAATACCCTCCCAGGAACCCCCCCTCCCTCCAACTCCATTTCTCTCTAAAACCCAAATATCAGCATAGAGACTCATACTTTCCGTATTGGATAGGACTCGACCCACTGGATACCCTCCCACCCCAGGCTTGTCTCCAATTGTAGAATGGGGGTTACACTTCTGTCGGTCCCGAAATTTACGTAAAACATACCCAACGGCTTATCACCCCACAAAACATCCTCTAACCCCGCCCTAACCCTAATTGCATCAAACCTATCATTGGGGTAATTCAGCTATTCTACTCCGCAGTCCCGTCCATATCATCCCTCCTACCACCTCCCCCAACATAACAATCTTGCAACTGTCCCTCCAGATAATTTTGCAACCCCAAAAACGCCAAACCTCGCCTCCTCTCGTCCCCTAGCCTTAAAAAAATTCGCTATTCCAGTTTTGCCTGCATTTTCCCACCAATCAAACAGATCTATCTCCCTGTTCCTAGCCTCCCAAAAGGCAACCACCAATCCTGAAAAAAAGGCCCCTCCCCCTCCTCCTTAAGAAGCCTACATTAATTTCCAGTACCCAGAATAAATACGCACCACTCCATCCCACATCAAATCTGCTATTACCGCTCTGTGATCAAAAACCCCACATCGAAGGTTTGCAAACCCCCACAACATCATACCCTGCTAATATAAATTCTGTCTAATCGCGCTTCAATCCCCTACGGACGACGTGTGCTCCACTAGTAACCCACCTCCCACCCATCAACAACCCAATATCTCGCAATACATCCCTCAGCACACTCAGCACCAACCCGCCCTCTCGGTTCGACATCACCACACCTAATCACACAATTCCCAATCACCTCCTATACTGTTAAAAGCAGGCAAACCTCTTCAAATATACAGCAAAACCTCTCTGACAATATCCACTTTTACCCTGAATTTTCTATTGCTGGCATGAAACTCCCACGAAAACTAACTCGACTCACCCCAGACCCATCCACCCTCACGATCCTCCACCCCCCCCTTTCCAACCGATGACACGCAAGGGCTGGTCTCCTTTACCGCAACTGCTACCCCACCTTTCAATTGCAA